TTTCTTTTAGAGAAAGAATTGTTTTTTTCTACATCGAGCTTAAAAGGGAGAGGTAAACGTTTGAAAAAATTATTTCCCCCTTGTTTCTTTAGAAGGGATCAAATTTTTCAAGTGATGATTATCTTTTTCATTGTGCTTGGGTGTACTGGATTTGGTCTTCAAGGCTTTGCATATAAAATATGGGGTATGTACCTTTTAGGTGATCAAGGGAAAAGGAAACCTTTTTTTCATTATTGATGGGCTCATTGCAGTTAGACTGGTAGGTAAATGTCATTCAGAAGTTGGTATGCTTTAATAAGCGTGTTACCTAAATGCATCCATATGAATGGTGCTTCTGTAAACTTAGATTTTTCACATGAACAAATATTGTTTTGGGAAGAGCTTTTTTTAGGATCCAAGGAAAGCAGGTGAGGAAGTACAGATAGGTATAACATTAAAACTGTAGAAAACAATTGTGTAAACACCTCTGCATAAAGATATAGAAATACAATACATTTAGCATTTGAATTAAAGGTGGTTTAAATTAACAAAAATTATGCTGCTTATTTAGGAAATATACTTTATGTAAGTAAAGCCTAGTCTTTTATTTAGACATCTCTTGATGGTGGATCCCATGAATTCACTAAGACCTGGAGAATTTATTTATGAGATCTGTGTCTTCGTTGACTCTTACCATGTTTTTATGCTTTGTCTGTGCTTCTGCAACAATATTTTGGTTACCTTTTCTTGACCCTTTGTAATAGATACTTGAGAAGAGCTTCCCATCTTTGTGCAGATACAGTTCTGGAAAAATAGTATATAGTCTTGAAAAATATCTCCGGTACAGGTGTTTGTGGCAGAAGGATTACCCTGTTCCATGTTTAAGACCGATAAATATACATATGCATAGATAAAAACGCTTTTAATTCATACTACATTAAATGAGAATTTGCTAATTTCTAGCTTGTTCTCTTCATGTTGCCGTAGGTAAACACCATATTGTGCTTATGTGAAATGTTACACAAAATGAAATGTTACACGAAATGAAAAGGTACATGAAATTAAACATGTAAGTTGCATTTCATACTGATTCTGTAGCTGCTAGAAAATAGATTGGAGAAAGAACCTGAGGCAGGGGCAGGTGAAGTTCCTGGCTTCAAAAGCCAAGGTTAAGAGTCCTGCCCTGATAGTTAAGAAAGGGTGCTCTGAGTAACCTGGGAGGTGCCACTGCCATTTGTGGGCAGACAGACTACAGACTAATATATTTTATTAATGTGAGAGATACTTTTGGTACTGTTCTGAGAAACATGTTAACTACAGGTTGTATAAGAAGGTATATGGGAAAAGGTATTCCTTTTTTTCCCCCCTCAGTTTCATCATGATATTTAGGGATAAGTATTTTAATACTCTTTTTCTTAGCTTGCTTGGTTGGTTTTTACAATGACAAATGGAGATTGCTACTTCCCTCTTAATGAAATAGTTGTTTTATTACCTCTCCTAGGTCAAGAGGTTGAAAAATAAACAGGGAAAAAAAAGGAAAAAATTTTTTACTATGATAAAAACTTGACCTATTTCTATTAGTGCACACTGAGTGTGCATATAATTCATCTGAAGAAAAGTAGCCATTTGTTATATGTAGATTGAAGAAACCTTGAAAACACCTTTTTGGTTTCTCTGTAAAAACCTCCTTTTAAACCCTTATGTTATGGACATGTTTTGGGGAGGGTTTTGTTACATACAGCAATGCTCTAATTCCCTGGTGTAATGGAATTAATAGACATCATAGAGCTAGAAAATCCAATAAACTAGAAAATCTTCCCAGGTTGGTTGTGTATACAGGGCCTCCCGTTGACACAGTAGTTCCCCAAAGAGCTGATGGAGGCCCCTTGTAGGGATCAGAAGAGAGAAGGTGAGCAAGTTCTTTGCCAGTTGTGTGGTGCAGACTGAAAGTGAGGGGCATTACTTTCCCAAAATTTTATTTTCTCAATGTAAAAAGTCTCTGGATCAGTTAAGACCTAGATCCTGGCAAATGTCATGTAGGATGTTTGCATTGAACTGTAGGAAGTGGACTAGATTTGGGTAATGCCTGGAAAAAACACTGTATTTTCATTGTGCAGCAGGAGGAATAAATCTGGCATCATCATTCAGAAAGAAAGGTTAATTCTCAGTCAAGATCACATTCCAGAATCCCTGGTACAGGATTCAATCTTGAGCTCGGGTACTGTCCATAATTGCTCACGTCATGCAAGATCTAATGAAAACCCAGACCTAGTTGGTGGAAATGAGGATTATTTTTATTAAGCTTGATATAGGAAAGCAGCTCTGCTAAATTCATTGCAAAGTTGACTCACACACCATCTGAGGGTGTTTGTCTCAACATATGCCTCTTCATTTATCTAATGTTAATGTCAACAATTTGTTGGGTTTTGATACAGTGTTTCCCAGTTTTCTGTTTGTTTTCTTACTGTAGTGGCTGTATACCCAAAACATTTTGACTTTTTTTTTTCCGTATGAATTACCTCTGGCCACGCCAGAAATTTAGTCAAGTCTTTTGGTATTGTAAGTAAGTAATTTCACTGGGTTTGTCCGCTTAGAATTTGGCTTTTGGGTAATGCATTATTTCACTTCAATTTTTTTTCCTTGCCTGAGAATTTGAGAACAGAGCAATCTCACCTTCTTTGGGGCAAGTTCTGTTGAGTCAAACCTACATCCCTAAGTGGTACTTAACGCAGATTTCTGTCTCCCTGAGAATGTTGTTAAAAACCTTGGGTTTTGCACTCAGCCTTCTTTTTTTCCACCTCTTGTTTTTATGTTTGTTTTAAAAATATGCTTCCTTCAAATATGTCTACTTTAAATTATTTTTCCTACTAATAAGAGGATGGAAGCATAAAATTTTTAGGCACGTGAAATGTAACCAGTATTTCAGATCTTAACAGACTTTACCTGACAATTGTGAGGGGTTTCTCTTAGCAGGGAGAAAAATACTGTCAAAAGCATCCTTTCGATTTGATAATGAAAAAGAAAAGCAAATTATGCATTTGATTTAGGGATACAAAACTGGCGTGTGGTTGAGGGGGCGATACAATTTATTTTTTTTCCCTTGCATTTTGCGACCTGATCTGTGCTGAGCTGCTCAGTAAGTATTGATTTGCACATAGCCTCAGGATGTACACATGTCAGGACCAATTCACTAAGGGTCATTTCTTCTCTTTCTCCACCATGAGGGCTGTAGCACTGTTTCCCTCTTTTTAGAAAAGTATAACGATTTTGAGTTCTCCAGGTTTTGGCTTAGGTTTCTTTGCACCAGCTAGTACAAGAGGGCTGAAAGCTGACAGAAAGCAGAAGTGCGACTGAGGGGTATAAGACATTGAGAAAGTGGAATTAAACACTGTGGGGAGGTTTTCCTATAAGGGAGGAGGTTGAGGAGGCAGGTTTTTGAGTGGTTACATTTTTGTGTCAGGATCCATTCTTTCGCATTGTCAGATTATTGCTTGGCCTATTTATGGGTGCATGTAACAAGGCAGAAGAGGTTTTGAATCACTGATCTCGTTCTTTCTCTCCTTAGTGCACATTTTCTGTGTGTCGTCTTCTGTGATCTTTATTTAGTTTTTCATTGTTTATTTACACTGCCACTGTTACTTCATGAATTCTTTAAATCATTGCCTATCTAGAGGGGAATCTGGACAGAATTACTCTTGCAGCTTTAAGTCTTGCTGACAGGAGGAGAGAAAAAGAGAGCTTTTGTCCCCTAGAGAAATGCAGGAACTGTGGCCATTTAAAATTGGACAGACGTGGTGGCTTTAAGGGAGATGCTGTGATGGGAGTGCTGCCTTTTATGTTTTTTCCTCTCTGTTGGGGCCCCTTATTTAAAATCTCTTCTGGGAGGCTAGAATCTGTATGCTGTTAGCAAATGGGTTAATTATCTTTTTGAGGGATGTAGAAGTATGTGGGGAAATGTAAGGTAGCAGAGACTTTTTTCCTTATTTTGAGAACCTGTGTTCAGATTTTCCATAGGACAGAAAAGGGTAGAGTTTTCTGTATGAATATAAGCCAACAAAATGTGATGGAGAACAGACTGGACGTGTTTCCCTTTGCTCATTCCCCACGGAAAACCTTGATTGCCATTTCCTCAAATATGTTAATGTCTTGCATGCACCCTTTAAAATAATTTTCCACTTGATTTTCCTGCCTTTCATCAGAGGCAGGTACTGGAGGTAGGGAGGGGCCCATTAAATATGGGTGTCTGTAAGTCTCTTTAAAGTTGTGTTAGGAGTAGGGCAGAGAGTTAGAGATGGTCTGAGGTGAGGAATTATGGTTTTATGGGAGTGAAGCTGGATTTCTAAATGATATCTTTAGTCACAAAAAGGGTTTTTTGGTTCCCTTTTCCTTCATTCTGATAGAAAATATTATTTTTGTCTTGCTGTTACTGAAAGATTCAATATAGCGGGATAGGTTGTTTTAAGAAAATAAGAAAATAGATTGCCTTAAGAAGAAGAGTACTTGTCATAAAAAGGAAGAGAACTTTTGATTAGTTGCAAATACCTCATAATTGCAGGTATGATCCTTTCAGAGAAGAGTGCATAAGCACTCGAATGTCAGTATATACCTGTATGTTCAGTATGCATGTTGGAATTTGCCTTTTGCCAACTATTTTGATAGTAAATGTGGCTCATTTGAATTTTTACAGAAGTGGGTGTGAGCTTGGCTGAAGTATATTTACTTTATAGAATAAGTGCTCAAGAATATTTTCAAATCGGACTTTAACTAGTGCAGGACTTTTTCCCATTCTGCCAGGAATCTAACTTTGCTTTTCTTAATAGTAGCTGACTTGACCTTCATATTCCATGTTTTGATAAGGTGATGATGGAGAAAATACAGGACACCCTAAGTTGGGATTTTGGAACTGCAGAAGGAGAGGCACAGTAGCTCTGCCAGACAAGTGTTGTAATCTGTAGCCACTTCGAAAAACATAAATGCTAATACTTATTTCCGTTTTTCTTCTTTTTTTTTCAACCCCTTAGGAAATACTGTTGTGCTGAGGAAGAAAACAACTCCCTCTTCTTTTTTTTTTTTCCTTTTTTTTTTTCTTCCCCCTCTTCCCTCCCCTCCTTTCTTCTTGCCTGAATTAGAAGCTCCAGGAATGTGCTAATTGGCGGCGGCCTCTTCAGAAAGGTAAGAGGTAATTGTTATCTGCTTTTCAAGGTGTCTTGCCTGCTCTGCTCCTTCTGGATAGGAAGGGAATGGTAGAAGAAGCTTGTCTACATGGAGTTTAGACAAATTTCTGGTTCATGTGGATTGCCTTTCTAACACGGCAATGCAAACAGAAGCTTTGTGGGCTTCCCGCTTTACTTCTAAATGTAGGATACAGTCCCTTAAGAAAAACTAGATTATGAGATACATTTTAAATGTTTGCAGAGAAAAAAAAGTAAAACTGTTGTATTGCAGACTGATTGACTAAATCTTTGCGTGAATGTCAGCTTAGATGGAAAGACAATGAGTTAGGTCTGGAGAAGACAAGTTGAAGAAATGTCTCAAAGTGCTTCTTTTATTATTACCATACATGTACATCTAGCCAGATAAATATAGATTGTTTTGCTTGTGAAGTTGTTTTGATTTGTGTTTTAAACCTGGCATCTTCTCTGGGGTCTGTCATGGTTTTGTGGCTGGTTGTACTGCTGACAGATAAGATAGGAACTAGCTGGAACCCCAACTCTAACTCTGAATGGTGTGCTTTTGTGAAGAGTTGGAAACACATGGCAATTCTTCACCTCTCCAGACTTTTTTTAGTTTTGGGGAAAAGTGCAAAATGCGGTGAGTGAGAGGAATTTAATTTTGTAGTTATCTGGTGATGTGAACCACATGTAATCCATGTCTGCCCTTCCACTTGAAGCAATTCAGTTTATGTGTCAGGGATATGTAAAGTACAAAAAATTAGTGCTGATCCACAGAGCATCCTGAGCTGCATGAGTAGACTCAAGTCTTTGTTAGACAAACTGCATAGGTATTTTAGTATCAGAACTCAATGTTTAGATTTATATTTGCTTAGGAGCTGCAGTGCTTTGAGATGTCATTTCCTATTCCATCTTTGTGATAGATATTAATGCTCCTTGTAGTGGAGGCAACATCTTCTCTCTAGACCTCAGCCGTTCTGGTTAACAGTTGATGTCTTAACTTGAACCAGTGCTGAGAAGTGGTTTGTGATAACTTCCTAGGTTCTGAATTGGAGATGCCAGATATAACTTTTTCTGCCAGATTGCTCAGTGGTGCTAACGTTTGTGAAGGGTTTGGAATGACAGTGCGATGCAATAACGTCTTAAATTGCCCCAGTGAGATTTGTCAGAGTTCATTTGTCAGACCCCTCCGACTGACTAAGTACACTAACTTATCGAGGATAAGCTCCAGACAGGTAATGTGCCTTGGGATGTTCTTTCTCATTCTGCATCTCATTCTTGATGGTGCAGAGGAAAGCTAAGTCTTTATTGAACAGCCAGTACCAGCTGTCTGGCTACCTTCTGCAGTAAAACTAATGATCTAATGGGCAAATGTTTCTTGGAGACCTTCAGCCAAAGCAGAGACAAGAAGAAACACACAGACCAGCTAAAGAGTTCTCAAGGAGTTTGCAATTTCCCCAAGGCTCCTTCTATGTAATTACCTGTCTCTCTCTTTGTCTCCTATCTTTTAATGCAGGAGGAGTGTCAGACTCAAGGCCGCTAATCTTCGTTACTATGGAAAGGCTGGTTACACTCCTCATGCTGCACTTCAAAAATGGCAATCGCTGGTCCCCAGCTGGTTCCTTGAATCTAACTTAAAAATGGATGATAGCTTTCCTCATTGGTGCCAGACTAAAGAATGCAGCTGCCTGTGCTGTTGCAGGCAGGCATTGCCTCCGCCACTGATGCTGTGGCATGCTGAGAGGAGCCTGCAGAATCTGCCTTGTGGCCTCTGAACCTGTTTTCTCCCAAACAAGAGAAGGCTCTGTAAAATTCCTTTGAAACGGGAAATTTTGGGGCACACTGAGATGTGGGAGGCTTGGCTGAGCCGCAGGTGTGAAGGAAAGCTGCTATTAAGATTCGTAGCTCCAGCCGAGTTTTTGTACCGTTTCTGAATGCCTTCAAACTCCCTGGGTTGGGGGCTGAGGGAAGCACAAGCTTTCAAAGCTATTTTGCAGGATTGTGGGCATCACTTCTTGTTATTGTCTCCCTCTCAGTACATGTCTTATGCAGTGATGTGCAGTGGAGACAAGGGCCACTGCTTAATTCACAGGGTCAGCTGAGAGGTTGTGCACAGCCCACTGCTATTTCTCTCTGGCTGGATACATCTGTTTGTCCCTCTTGCATGGCATTGGAAATGTGGAGGGGAATCCCTGCTTGCTACTCCCCTCATCCTTTTCCTGCATATGCTTCCTGAGTTATAACACATCAGACGAATTGTCCCTCTGAAACCAGGGCTTGGGAATGCCTCCAGCACAAATGCCTTCTCTCTGTATGCCCCTTTTCATCCTGGTGAGGAGAGGGAAAATGTCCCATGTTGAACAGGGTCCCTTTCCAGCTGCTGCAGTGACTTACATGCTCAGGAAGTGTATGTTGCTAAACCCCTTTTCAATACCTTTGTAAAACATGCTTTAACTGTCTGCAAATGTACGGCATTTAAGCAGCAGAGTCTGTATTATCAAATGCAATCATGCAGACTGTAGTCCTCGGGGTGAAAAGCTTTGGGAGGAGAGACTGGATGTGACAGTGAAATTTGAGAACCAAACCAAGAGGAAATTCTTGCCTGTGTGTTGGACTAGAGCAGGTTCAGGAGAGGTGGAGGGAGGGGGGAAGCATAGACCCCTTCCCAGTTTGGAAGTGTTGAAGAGGGGTCAGAAAGGAGAGGGAGAGGCAGGGCAGGGACAAGGCAACAAAAGATCAGGCTGGCAAGTGGACCACAGTTTGCTGTGTTTTGTTTTTTGCCTTTAATGCTGTGCTTTTCTCCCCTAGTTCCTCCTAGCTAAATCTGGGCAAAGATAATTTTAAATTTTTTTGTTCCTTGATAGAGCAACCATAACTCTTGTTCAGATTTTTTCAGAAGTTATGTTTTGTAACAGTGCATCTAGTATGACTATTTTGCCTTGACTTTTGAAAGCACTTTTATTTCCCTCATTATTTCCCTGTTTTCCTCTCTTATTTGTATCAACCTAAACCATCTCCAAAGGAAAGGTGACACTGCTGCTAGCTAACATTTTGGGTGGGTGATGCTGTTTGTGTTAAACAGCATGCCTATAATAACTTACCTGTCAGTGGGAAGCTTACCCTGATTGTTTGTATTTCTCTTCTCATATATAAATCAAGTTCTTAGCTCTTGAGCATTTGTAGAGCATTTCAACGTGTTTGTTTCAAGTCTCCGATTTTTTTCTCCCTTAAATCCTTTGAGATGTTTGGGGTCAGGATTTCTCATTCAGTAACTGTATTCAGTAAAATGAAGCGTCTGTCAAAGCTATATTGCACCTTATGAGAGGATGACAGGTTCTTCCAGAGTTCTCAGTTTGCAAAGCTTTAACTGTCTGCCGCTTTCAATCAGGACTTTGCAACTGCTCAAGGTCTTTAAGTACTTAATTAACTTTATGTTAACAATGAGCCTAGCCCTCTCCTGTTTTTTAGTAAAACCCTTGATTTTTTTCAGATTTTCATTTTATGAACGTTACAGGTATTAATTTTTTATTCTGATTGGAGAAGACTTAAATCTCAAATTTATTGGAGAAGGAAAAATAATTTTCATCCCAGCCAGCAGTGCATTTTTTAGGTAATTTATATGTTTAGAATCCATTTACCATGTAGATTTCAGAAAGCGAAATGCTTATTTTCTGCCTCCAAAAAGATGGTTTTAAACATCTTTCATGGTTTTAAGTGTAGAGAAAGTGGAGAGTTCAGAGCTGAAATTAACTTGCTTGTAAATCACTTCTTTTATATACAAGATGTAAAAAATATTAAGAGGCAGAGTGAAAATTTAGCATATCTAGGCACAGGAAGATACGTTAAAATGGTAGTAAGAACCATGATTTTCAATTTTCTACTCAGTTGTCTGAGTCAGTCCTTTTCTGAGGGCAGACTTTACAAGTCCACAGATATAAGTGAATGGGGTTTTGGGGAGAGGTGGTGAGAACACTGCAAGGGCTTGTCTTGGGGTGTCTGTATCTGTATGGAGGTCTAGAAGGTGCTGCCTCGTGGTGTGTGCCCCCCACCCTCTAGTGTAGCTATGCCAATGACCATTTGTTGTCCCTGGTTAAAACTCTTCAGTTCTTAGTGTTTGCAGAGCTAACTCTGGGTTGCTTGGCTTTCCTCTAGTTTCAGAAGGTATGGTCTGCCTGCCTTAGTTGTCCATAATGCAGTGGAGTTCTTGCTACTCCTCACAGTCATTGTGTTTGAGACGTGTTAGACGTACTTCTGAATATAGAACTGGGTGTACTTATTTCAGAGTAAGTCCTACATGGACTAGCATGTTCTCTTGTGCTGAGTCCTCCTGTCCTTCCCTGTCCTACCACCCTGAAGAACTGCAGTTGGGTCACTGGTTCACTCCTCCCAGGGGCTGAGGAGGCCAGATATCTGCTCACCATCACCCCTGGTGTGTAAATAATTGTGCTGAGCACTGAGGTGGCTTCCTGTGTTCTCTGGAGCTTTGCAGGGCTTCTAGGAGGAACTCTCTAGCTTGAGTGGCTTGCAGTGACTGCTGAAGAGCCCTGGGAGTACAAACAGCCAGTCTATAGGAAGAGGTTTTTGCAAGAGCCTGTGGTGGTAATCCATAATGAGAGGAGCAAAGTATAGCACATAGATATTAGCCTAGGTGGAAGGTTTTGGTATTTTGCTTTTATTTGCATTACCTGTCAGTCCCTCTGAAAGAAAACCAGAAGGCCCAAATCAGCTATAAGGTCTGTGTTGAAGGTAGCAATGCCTTATTTCCTGGCAAGTTATGACTGTCCTCTTCTGCTAGGGAATGACCCATCTCGGTGCACACTGCCCCATCCTTCAGCTACACAAAGATGCCTGTGAATTCCTTATATGTTTCAATAATTTGGCCATTCATAAAAAAAAGAACGAATCCAAACCAGCAGAATTTTTCATCCATAAACCAAGTATTTTAAAGCATGAACCTAAAATAACGAGTTGATACTTCAAAGTCACGTTTTCCAGTTTTGT